TGTCCTCATGTGGAATCTATACATAAACCAAGAGACAGCAGGTCAAACAGAACAAGAAGATACTGAATGTTTAAAATCAGGAAAGGTGTGTGTCAGGGTTATATCCTTTCACCATCCTTATTTAATCTGTATGCTGCGCAAATAATCCAAGCAAACTGGACTATATGGAGAAGAAGGTGGCATCAAGATGGGTGGAAGACCCATTAATTACCTGTGAGATGCAGATGGCACAACCTTGCCTTGTTGGAAGCATAAATGACTTGAAGGACTTACTGATGAAGATCAGAGACTCTACAACCTTCAGTTTGGATTGCATCTCAGTGTAATGAAAACAAAAATCCTCATCACTCGACTAATAAATAATATCATGATAAAGTGAAGAAAAGATTGAAGTTGTCAAAGATTTTGTTTTGCTTAGATCCACAATCAGTGCTTATGGAAGCAGCAGTCAAGAAATCAGACTGGGCAAGTCTACTGCACTTTTAGGACTAAGATGTGCCTGACCCAAGCCTTGGCATTTTCAACCACCTTGTATACATGTAAAAACTGGACAGTGAATAACGAAGATAGGAGAAGAATGGATGCACTTGAACTGTGGTGGTATTGAAAAATAATTGAATATACCATGTATATTGAGCAAATTATCTAAGAAGTTGGGTTATATGAAATAAAAAGTGTCATCAGGATTGGAGGAAGACTCATTAACAACCTGTGATATGCAGATGATGCAACCTTGGTTGCTGAAAGTGAAGAGGACTTAAAACATTTACTGATGAAGATCAAAGAGCACAGCCTTCGGTATGGATTGCTTCTCAATGTAAAGAAAACAAAAATCCTCACCACTGGACCAATAAACACCATTCTTATCAACAGAGAAAAGATTGATGTTGTCAAGGACTTCATTCTTCTTGGATCAACCATCAACACTCATGGAAGCAGCAGTCAAGAGATCAGATGACGTATTACATTAGGCAAATCTGCTACACAAGTTCTTTTTAAAGTGCTGAAGAGCGAAGATGTCAGCTTGAAGACTAAGGTGCACCTGACCCAAGCCATGGTATTTTCAATAACATATGCATGCGAAAGCTGGACTGTGAATAAGGAAGACCGTAGAAGAATTGATGCTTTTGAGCTATGCTTTAGAAGAGAATATTGAAAGTGCCATGGGCTGCCAAAAGAACCAACAGATCTGTGTTGGAAGAAGTGCTGCCAGAGTGCTCCTTGGAGGCCAGGATGGCCAAACTTCATCTCTCATACTTCGGACATATTGTCAGGAGGGATCAGTCACTGGAGAAGGATCTCATGTTTGGTAAGGTGAATGGTCAGAGAAAAAGAGGAAGACCACCAGCGAGGTGGATTGGCAAAGTGGCAGCAACAATGGGCTCAAGTGTGGTAACAATTGTGAGGTTGGCCCAGGACCAGGCAGTGTTTCATTCTGTTGCACATAGGGTTGCTATGAGTCAGTACTGACTCGATGGCACCTAACAACAACAAGGAGCGACGGGTGGGTCTAAACCTCCAACGTTGCAGTTCAAACAGACCTTGTGCTCCTATACTTACCTTACAGTGCCACATTATAAATGTAGAATTTATTAAATTGACTTTTTTGCATATATTTTTACCACAATGAAAATTTTTTTTAAATAAATTTTTTAAGTCGCTCCTCAGAAACCCTATACAGGGTCGGAACCAACTTGATGGCATATAACAACAATTAAGGCACAATGTTATACAAACATCAGAACTACCTGTTTTCAAAAGTTCTTTGTCTACCCAAATAGAAACTTAGTACCCTTTAAGCAATAAATAACTCTCCATTTTCCCCTCTTTCTGTCCCTGGTAACCACTAATCAATTTGGTCTCTATGATTTCACCCATTCTAGATATTTCATACACAAGTGGAACCATAGAACATTTTCCTTTGTGTCTGATTTATTTCACTCAGCTTTGTTTACGGAGTTCATCCATGTACCAGGATTTCAGTACTCTCTCTGACGGAATAATATTCCATTATGTGCATATACTACTTTGTTTTTTCGGCTGTTGAGGGGCACTGGGCTGTTTCCCCCTTTTGGCTATGTTAATTGGGCCTGTTTTTGAAATCTGAGTGCATTCCTGAGAGAACTTATCTGCAGCCAGCCAGCCACTGATAGCAGAGAAATGTTTTATTTGGAATAAACCTGGGCATGTATGAACTGAGACCCTAGTAGCAATATTTTTAAACGTACCCTCCTATTTGAAGCCCTTTTCCACAAAGACCTTTGTGAGTTTCTAGTGCTGCCATGACACAAACAACATAAATGGGTGACTTGAAAGAACAGAATTCGTTTTTTTCTCAGTTCTGGAGAAGTCCAAATCAGGATCTTGAGCTTGCTTCTGTAGACTTCTCTGGTTGTTTCAGTGGCTGCCAGAAAGTCCTGGTGTTTTCTTTGTTACTTATCACTGCATCTGTGGCATCTTCTGGTCTTTTCATAAGCCACCATGCAGAAGGGATGCGGTTTAGGTTCCACTCTCTTCTGGTATAACCTCATTAACACAAAAAAAGACCCTCCCAATTTCTGAACAGGATCATCCTTACAGTGCAGAGGTTTGAACGCAACATAACTTTTGCGGGGAGGACACAATTCATATCTCAGTGCATGGAGTAAAATTCCCAAACAGGCCTCTAGCAATCACCTGGTTTGGATTCTGTATATTGAGGATATAGGTGTGGCGCTTGGTGAGACTTGGTGCAGTGCTGTAGGGTAATGCATTGGACAGCAAGGTCAGCTTGAATCCCAAGGTCAGTGGTCAAACTCAACAGCTACTCCTTGGAAACCCTATACAGAGTTGTTATGAGTTGGAACCAACTCAACAGCACTTAACAACAATAATTATTGAGGCTTATGGATAGGTGACACTATCCAAGATAGAAAATTATCAAGTCTTTTAGCTTTTGTTTTTGATTTTTCATTAAAACACACGAGGAATAAACACTATACGCCA